CCCCCCCCCAGTGCCCTGCCTCACCCGTCCTCCCCAGTGCCATCTCACCCATCCCCATTGCCCCAGCTCCGTTTGCCCCCCAGCTCCCCCCCATTGCCCTGTGGCACCGCGGGACATGGCTGGGCAGGGTAGCCAGGGGGCCCTGATGGGGTGCTGGGTCCCCCAGGGGGTCTGTGCCCCAGGCGGGGGCTCTGGGTGCTCTGGGTGCTCACCCACTCTCCCCTCTCCTTGCAGGTGTGGAGCTGCGCAAATGAGAAGCGGGTGAGCAAGAGCGGGATGGCAGCGGGGGACCCTCTCCCCTCCCCATGTCCCCAGCCCCAGGACGTGCCACGATGCTCGCACAGTGACAACGGGGCCCCTGCTCCTCCCAGCACCCACTCACCCATGCCTTGGGGCACCCCAGGGCACAGCACCCAGCACCCCTGCCCCAGCCCGCAGCTCCCCCCGGGGCACCCCAAGACTGCAGCCCCCTCCCAGCAGCAGGGCCAGACCGAGGGGCTGTGGGGCGTCTTGGGGGGCCAGCAGCTCCCAAAGCTGCATGCACAGCGCTGCACACGCACGGCACGTGCTGCACACAGCGCCTGTGCATGCACTGCACACGCTGCGCCTGCAACACACACTGTAAAGACTGTGCACTGCACACACTGCATGCACAGCCTCTGTGCATGCACTGCATGCGTTATCCATGCTGCGCCCGCTGCACTGCACATGCTACACAGCATGCACATGCCGCACACTCAGAGTGCATGCTCTGAGCACGCTGCAGAGGCAGCAGGCACAGCACCGACAGACAGGGGGCACACACTGCACATGTTGGATGTGCTGCACATGCTGCACACATAGACACTGCAGATGCTGCACACCTGCACGCACAGCGTGCACTACACTGCACGGCGTGTGCTGCACGCTCTGCAGGTGCCTCCACTGCACGCACTGTGTGCACTGCACACAAAGGCACCGTATGCACTGTGCAGACACTGCACACAGGCTGCATGCACTGCGTCCCCACAGATACTGTGCGCGGATTCGTGCTGTGCCTGCACATTGTGCACGCCCTGCACACATTGCACACACTGCACTCCTTGTACAGACACTGAGCTGTGCACACTGCACACTCGCTGCACGCACTGCACACATACGCTGTGCCCTGCATGCTGCCGGTGCAGACATTGCATTGTGCATGCTGCACGCACGGCACACGGACACTGCGCCCTGGCCACTGCGCACTGCACCTGCACTGTACACACTGCACGTGGTGGGTGTGCAGCACAAACTGTCCTGCACACGCGCACCCACACTGCGCACATGCTTCACACATTCCACCCCACACTCAGTCCACTGCGTGCTGTGCCCTCCCGCTCCCCGCCGTGCGCACCCCTGCGCACACCCCGGGGCACCTGCCCACGCAGGCAGGCCTCACGCTGCACGCATCCCCATACCCGCACGGACACACGCCTGCTGCAGACGCACTGCTCGCACCCACGCTGCCCACTGCGCGCACAGGCACTCACTGTGCACGCCGTGCACAGACACCCCACACATCCACAGCCTGAGCAGCACCCGACACCCACCCCGCTGCACGCCGCCCTCTCAGGACAGATGTTTATTCCCTCACAGAATTAACTGACATTCCCTCTCCCTCCCCACAGCCATTTGGGCATTAGCCGAACTTTTGCCGGCAGCTCTGGGCGATGCAGCGCCTTCCCCTTGGCAGAAGTGCCCCAGGATTACGGCTTTCTGCCCCATTTCCATGTTTGCCTACATCCTTGCGGTAGAAAGGGACCCTTAATCCCCAGCAAATACTGCAGGAAGATTTCAGATGCCGGATAAAAAGCTTAAAGATGAAACGTTGCAAGGGTTGAAAATGCTTATAAGCGTGCAGAAAAACGGTTATTAGCCGGGGGATGGCGCTGGGTCGCTCCAGCCGCGCTTGGGGACCAACACTGGGTCCTCCAGTGGTTCGGGGCAAGACTCGCAGCCCATAGGGAAGAGAGGCTGGAGGAGAGGAGCAGGGCTGGAAGGAGGGAGCTGACCTGGGCTCGGTCCCCTCTACGCCAGGGCAGGGGAGAGGTCGGGTCGGGTCTCAGTGACAGTGCTTTCGTAACATCCTCAGCTTTAGGTGAAATTTGACTTTTAGTTTTGGGTGGGCGCATTGGCCTCGTCGCATCTCACCGTGGAGCCAAGCGCAGGGTGCCCAGGGCACCATCCCCAGGACCCCAGGTCAGTCCCCGGGATGCCGCGGCCCCGGGATAACGCTGTGGCAGAAGAGAGGATTACACCTTTGCGTAACCTGTTTCTGGGGCCGCCCCATCCTCCCATCCGTCCGTCCACTTGTCCGCCTGTCCCCGGCCTGGGGTTGCATGGGGAGGGTCCGATGTCCCCGCGCCCCCGTCCCCTGGCCCGCCTGTCCCCGGGCTGGGGTTGCATGGGGAGGGTCCGATGTCCCCGCGCCCCAGCTAACCCGCGCGGTCCCCTCGCAGGCACCGCCATGTTCCTGAATAAGTGCGAGGGGGACCTGGGCGAGCTGCGGAAGCCGGGGAACGGCGAGGGCACCCCGCCGGCCGCCGCCGAGGAGGAGCAGCCCAAGAAGAAGCACCGGAGGAACCGCACCACCTTCACCACCTACCAGCTGCACGAGCTGGAGCGCGCCTTCGAGAAGTCCCACTACCCCGACGTCTACAGCCGCGAGGAGCTGGCCATGAAGGTCAACCTGCCAGAGGTCCGCGTGCAGGTAGGGAGGATGCCCTGTGGCCCCCGCACCCTGGCCCTATCCCCTGGGCAGTGAGAGAGGGACCACCCCAGTGCTGGAGAGCTTTGCTCTGCTCCCAGCTCCGCTGCCGCCGCCTCGCTCCATGCCTCAGTTTCCCCATTGCTCGAGGCGGGAGCGGCATCTCTGCAGAGCTGGCTGCTGCTGCCAAAACCAGAGAGGAGATTTAATGGCTGAGCTTTGTTTGCCCACAAGGTCCCAGTACAGCCCATGTGCCAGAGGCTCCGTTTGGGCAGGGAGATGGTTTTGAGAGATTTTTTTTCCCCCACTGGTGGTGGCTGCTCCCATCCCTCCAGCTGATCCCACTTAGAATCATAGAATCATAGAGTGGTTTGGTTGGAAAAGACCCTTAAGATCATCGAGTCCAACCGTTAACCTAGCACTGCCAAGTCCACCACCGAACCGTGTCCCTAAGCGCCACGTCTACACGTCTTTTAAATACTTCCAGGGATGGTGACTCAACCACTTCCCTGGGCAGCCTGTTCCAATGTTTAACCACTCTTTCAGTAAAGACATTTTTTTTTACAACCTCCTTTCAGGTAGTTGTAGAGAGCCATGAGGTCTCCCCTCAGCCTCCTTTTCTCCAGGCTGAACAACCCCAGCTCCCTCAGCCGCTCCTCATCAGACTTGTTCTCCAGACCCCTCACCAGCCTCGTTGCCCTTCTCTGAACACGAAGTTTGCACCAGTATAGCCCACCAACAACTGTGACCAGCCCATGGGAGACATCCCCTTCTCAGCCCGGCCGTTCATCTTTACTCCTGCTTTGCATCACGTGGCAGACGGCCTGTGCCTCGTGCTGCTTGCGAGCTCTGGGGATACAGGGACCAGCGCTCTAACAGGCAGCTCCCGTGGGGCAAGACATCACCGCTGGCCTCAGCTTGCCAGTCTCTCTCGTTCCTCCTGGGTTTTGGTGCAACTGTGGCAGTTTGGCTTCTAAAAGCTTTTACCAAAGGGCTTTTGAAGGCCGGATAACATTGTACCGAGGACTGTACGGGTGTTTGCGGGGCCAGGGTGCACGTTCATGTAAAGCAGCGAGGGCAGGGGCTGCACGGTGACACATCTCACCTTCCACACCTCGGAGATGCCCTCAGCCTCTGGGGTTTGCGGGAGAGGTTTGGCAGAGGTGTGCAGTGTGCTGGGGTTTGCTGGAGCCCCGTGGGGCACCCCGCATGGGACACAACACACAGGGCACCCCACGCAGGATGAGATACCCCATACGGGATACCCCGCCTGGAGCACCCCGTGTGGGGCACCCTGCATGGGGCACAGCACGTGGGACACCCTGCCCGGGGCACCCTGCGTAGGGCACAGCACACGGGACACGCTGTGAGAGACTGGCTGGGCACAGTGGGGCTCACCCTGGCTCTCCCCTTGCAGGTGTGGTTCCAAAACCGACGAGCCAAGTGGAGGCGGCAGGAGAAGATGGAGGCCAGCTCCATGAAGCTCCATGACACCCCTGTGCTCTCCTTCAATCGTCCCCCCATGACGCCCAACGTGGGGCCCATGAGCAACTCTCTCCCGCTCGACCCATGGCTGACGTCCCCCATCTCCAGCGCCACCACAGTCCACAGCATCCCCGGCTTCATGGGAGCCCCTCAGGCCCTGCAGCCCCCCTACGGCGGGCAC